GGTTGTTTGACCTTGTTTTCGCAACATGGTCATATTGGTAGGAAGATTTAGAGGAACGCACCTAGTCCGGTTTCCATTGTCTGCATGATCATTTCCAAAGTTGAACCGTGGACGTGGTACATTCCCAAACGTTTTGCCAGCATCGTAAGTGAGTATCGCCATCCTTAGCACCATACAACAACTCGTCAAAGAGACAAGTCAAATTTAATGGAAGCGCGAGATCTATTCGTGATTATGGAAAAATTCAACTATCAGTCGTTCATCACTTTAGACGAAGTAGGTTGAACACATCTTATATATCTGACTTACTGTTAGTCCCAAAAATCGACTTACAAACGAAATTAATTGATATAGTTCTTTTTTCAAGGCGACTCCAGACGTAATGACCGATCCCAAAGCTTTTTAGCTATCACACATGTATCTCCCAACACTTTCTCCTTTTACATAAAGACCATTTAAGAACACCTCTGATTCGTACTCATCCACTATGATTGTCGTTTAATCCAACCGCACTTGAATAACATTTGTATTCACGCTTTATCGTCTATGCTGATAAAGGACTGATAATTAGATTGTTCAACAAGCAAAAAATCATACTTCACGATGCCATTAAATTTAATTTAGCTTTGCTTCCCTAAAAGTATTCTCAACCAGGCTGAACTACAGTTTCGCTCTCCTGGGATTTATCAGCATCCACAACGGGAATCGAACCTGTATATTGCGGTGTTTGTTTGGCATAAGAGCCGTATCCACCCTAGGCCTATTCATACTATTGTGGGAAAATTCTACTTTCACTTCTTCATCAGATTTTCCACCTTGGTTAAAGTAAGCTCTCGTTCAAGATATACAGGTAGCTTCGATACCTACTTAATCGAAATATTTTCTACATTTTACCTCCGTGCCACACTGCTACGGGTGTCAGTTAATCAGTGAATAATGGAGAATGTCAAGGCAGCCTAGGCTCTTCTTATCTCAGATTTTAGTATGTCTTTAGATGTATCAAGCTTTTATTTGCTATATCAGTCGGCAACAATACCCGTGTCCATAATGGATAGGTCTTTGAAGCTATATATAATATATTTGGAATTTAATAAATATATTTTAAAACTATCGATAATGCTTGAATAAGATCTTATTCAACCTAGGTCGCTTAAGTTTAATTAGGGATTGATAGTGGAAATTCTCCTAGAATGATATGAGCAGTCCTTAATATGCCATTATGTGATTAAGATTTTATTCATAATTTACTGAGTGATCGGAGCCATTGAAACCCGGTTGCGACAACAACTGCAGTCCGACTCGGATGAGAAAGCGTTTGTTGTTGCAAGTATGGGTGAAATTTAATCACATCGTGAGGCCTACTCATTTTAGATTAAAAAGTTCTACAATCAATCCTTAGGCCTCCTGGACTACATTTTCATTCAAAAATTACTAATAGTTACGAAGAATACACCTCCAATCATGCGATAAGCCCCATCGTGTTATGCGAAGTAGACTGAATTCATCTTGCATAGAATTGTTTGTATTTCACTTTTCCTTACAAGTCATATATGTCTAGCAACAAAAAATTCGACTCGAACAGTGCTTTGTTGGTCAAGTTTCCACAATTTCGACATGCCACTTCTACGCTACACTGTCATAAGTGCCAATGAATCAAAGGGTAGATCTGAATTTCTCGGCAAGCCAGGCCTCTTCCATAACATATCTATAGTGCGAATATCTGTGATGCAAATCCATATCTTGTAAGTACAATCGACTACGTTATGCGTGTATGCCAACCCACAAAAATTGTGGTTCAACATTGAACTAAATCAAAACAGGCTGTACCACAAT